CGCGAAATCCACAACAAACAAACAAGCCTTTAATCTTTACAAAGTGGGTGTGTCTTTGTAGACTAGCATTTAGTAAAATACAGTAACATTTCAACTATTATACATTATATACGTATATATATTATTATTATTTAGAAATAAGTTATTAAACATGTTTTTCTTAAAACACAGAAGCAAACAATTATCTATTCTAGTTACGACCTTTGTACTCAGTTGATGCTTGACGTAGTTTGATAAGCCTTTTAAAATTTCACACGTGGAGGATATGAAACGAAATAATTTTTTAGGTTTTATGTATACAGTTGAGTAACCAAGTAGAAATGGGAGCACTAATAATAAGGAAACAAGGTAGGAATGGGCGAGATAACATTACAACACTTACAGGTTTTTAACGCAGTGCAACCTCATAGTGGGTATGGCCATCATTACGCCCATTCCTACTTCGTGTGGTTTTAGAAGAACCTCAGATTTTCTTGGTTATAGTACGAATAATACGTATTTTGTACTCCAGATTATCATTAATAGGTGTATTAGTAAGACATATTCTCTACCTTGGATTATCATTGGTCAGTGTACTAATAAAAATATTCTCTGCCTCAAATTGTCTAAGTCAATTTACTAGTAAGATGTATTCTCTACCATACATTGTAATTAGTAACTGTACTAATAAGACATATTCTTTACCTCAGATTATCATTAGTACATGTACTAGTAAGATTTATTTTCTACTTCAGACTTTCATTATTAAATACACTAGTAAGACGTATTCTTTATCTCAGATTGTGATTAGTAAGTGTACTAGTAAGATGTATTCTTCGCCTCAGATTATCATCGGTAAGTGTACCAATAACACATATTCTTTACCTCAGATTTTCGGTAGTAAGTGTACCAATAAGACGTATTCTTTACCTCAAATTGTAAGTAGTAAGTGTACTAGTAAGACATTCATTACCTCAGATTGTCATTAGTACTGTACCTATATATTTATTTTCTACCTCAAACTATCATTGGTAAGTGTACCAGTAAGACGTACCCTCTACCTCAAATATCCATAAGTTATTGTATTTAGTAAGACGTATTCCATACCTCAGATTGTCATTAGCCGGTGTTCTAGTAAGATTTATTCTGCACCATTTCCACAAACAAAGCATTCCACAGTAATTGTTCTGTTGACGACGATGTGTATTAATTATTATATGCATAGTTACGTTTATTTTACTTTCTCTTTTTAGTTTTCACTAATCTATTAGTATTATATCATATTAGCTTATTCTTGCTGAAAATTAAAGTTTGTAGGGTTTTCAGGTTTTGTTTCAGCAATTAAGACAGTGCAGTTCTTCTTCTTCTTTTTTTTCAGGTGATTTTGGGGGAATTAAGAGAACAACAGAAGTATTACGCTATTAAATGCTTAAAGAAAGACGTAATTTTGGAAGATGACGATATCGAGAGTGTGGTAGTCGAGAGAAAGGTGTTGTCGCTCGGGGTCGCTCATCCATTTCTCTGTTCGCTTCTTTGTACCTTTCAAACAGAGGTATGCCTGCATGTATTAAATGTTAAAATCTCTCACTAAACAAGTTGAATAAGCACAAAAACTGAGGTATAAACGTAAGTGCTAAAAGTAGCTTAAAGTTTATGTTTCTGTATAGCTTATTTAATGTTCTGTTCCACATTCTAATGAAATGATTATATTTATTATAGTAATTCATACATACGTTTAATGTAATATGTTTTTATTTCACAAATGTTTAAACAAATATCACTTTGTGAACGTAATTCATAATTCGTTCAAATTAAGGTAGCCATCCAGTGGCTCAGCGATAAGAATAAAGTCTTACAAGGCTAAAAACCATGTTTCGATACCCGTTGAGCACATTACAGATAGCTCATTGTGTAGCTTTGTGCTTAGCAAGAAATAAACAAATTAAAGTGAAAACTACACGGTTATTGTTTATCAAGTAAAAGACAAAAAAAGTTTTATGAATTGTTTTAAGTATAATTAACGTTATCCATTACCACATGAAAATGGCAAAGTCTAGTCGTATGAGACCTGAATTCACATCAACATTGTTTCATGTAAAAATGACCAAATATATGTATTATTATTGAAACAAAACAGTGATCATTTGGTGGTATTAAGAAACATTTCACACAAAGTGTTTAGAGAACGTACTTTTTTAACTAAAACTCCTTCAAACATAAATGTATTACACAACTAATTCCAGCATTAGACCCACATCAGGTGGCTTTAAAGTAGAAACGTTGAAAAGAATGTTTTTACTGTTTAATAATGCACTAGATGACATTAAAAAAACAATGACACAGGCACCTCTTAGAAACGATACTTAAAGTCTCTAGGAAGAGTAATTTGGGAAACGTTTAATGGTACGTATAAGCATTTTAAAATTTAATATTATATTCATTGATTTTATTATAAAAAAATGTTTTAATCCTGCTTAATTCACCAACATCGGTACCTTAATTTTAACATATGAATATAAGATATATGTTTTCATCACAAGCAAAGTTTGTCTTACTGCATTATAAGAGACCCCCAGTGGCACAGCGGTATGTTTGCGGTTTTACAATGCTAAAAACCGCACAGATAGTCCATTGTGTAGCTTTGTGCTTAATTCCTAACAAACAAGCATTATAAGAAATTCCCTTATTGAAATGAAAACTGTACGACTAAAGAAAAAATAAATAAACATATTACACTGGAATTTATAATAATTTATAGAGAACACAAAAATTAATGAATTAATTGTAGAGAACATAAAAATTAATGAATTAACGGTGGTGTGAATCTCGTATTTAAAAATTAATGAATTAACGGTAGTGTGAATTTCGTATTTTAAAATTAATGAATTAACGGTAGTGTGAATCTCGTATTTTAAAATTAATGAATTAACGGTGGTGTGAATCTCGTATTTAAAAATTATTGAATTAACGGTAGTGTGAATCTCGTATTTAAGGTTAGTTTTTGATTCTTGATGAAAAAATTCTTTCCGTTTTTTTTCTTTCCGTGTCAGCAGAGTTAAATGTTTTCGAACAAAATTTGGTAATAAAGTTAAGGAATGTTAGGGACAATTTCAATGCAGTGGTCAAAAGCGTCAAGCGAACATCCAGCCCTTTCCTTTGCATCTCTTACGTGTTCTGTAATATTTTCCTTTCTAGGTCGAAATGTTGCACTGTTTTCTCCATACAGTGTTAAAGTTGGTAATTTTTAACGTTCGTGCACCTGTATGTTCTAGTCCTAAAATTCGTGTAATAAAGTTGTTACCGTTCTGAATTACGTGTAATGCAGGTGCTACAATCCTGAAGTATGTGTACAGTTATTGCTATCCTGAAGTACGTGTAATACAGTTGTTACTGTCCTAAAGTTCGTGCAGTATAGTTGTTACCATCCTGAATTACATGTAATACAGTTGTTACAATCCAGAAGTACACATAATACAGGTGTTTTCTTCCAGAAGTACGTGCAATACAGTTGTTACCGTCCTGAAGTACGTCTAATACAGCTGTTACAACAGGAATGAGGGCTAATTTAACAAGGAATGATCTTAATGTGGAGCTTCTCATCAAAATTACTGTACTTTAAGTTGTGTTTAATTCTACCGATAAGGTTGTCGTTGTGACATACTTAAATGGGGATTTGCTTCTGATAATGTTTTTCTCCCAGATTAATGTTTTGCTTTGTTAACTATAAGAGCTGTTTACCCATTCTGATGAGATATTTATTCGTCCTGATCAGGTGTGTTCTCATTTTTGCGAGCTACGTATTCATTCTGACGAGCTGTGTACCCATTCTGACGAAATATGTGTCCATTCTTACAAAATATTCGTCTAATCTGACAAGCCTTGTATCAATTGTGACGAGGTGTCTATCCATTTTGACGAGATGTGTTCTCATTCTTTCGAGCTGTATACCCATTCTGACGAGGTGTCTATCTATTTTGACGTGCTGTGTACTCATTTATAAGAGTTGTATATTCATTTTGACGAGTTTTGAGTACTCATTCTAGTGAACTGTGTACCCATTCGGAAAAGATGTGTACCAATTCTCATTAGCTGTGTACTCATTCTGATTAGTTGTGAACTCGTTGTGACGACTCAGCTATTTCTTTTGAGGTATCCATAGTGAATTTAACGTTCAGGTGAAATTCGTTCGTAAAAATATAAAATGTATTGAGAGCCTCCTGGCGGTGAGTCCACTTTAAAAAATACGTTATCAACATTACGTTTATAAAATAAAGGTTAAATTTCTTTCTTGAGAAAGCATGAAAATGATGTAAAAAACGTCTTTCCAAGGCAACTCTCACCCATTGATGCAAAAATAATCGCGAAATCAGATAAAAAATAATTGTTAGATTATGAATTTTAGCAAATGTTAAACATCTTTCAAGCTTAAATCTAAAGCACTGATATTGTCTTCATAGATTCTTAGTTGTTCCATAACCACGGCGACTATTCCTTCTTCTCTGAGAATGTTTGTTTAGGACGATGGCACATCATATGAAAAACTGATTCTAGAGGCAATTTTTCTGGAAACTTTTCATCTAAACAGTCTGGGAAATGTTGAGTATTTTTAGTTACGATGGAATGAATAGAGTAACATCTGGCTTAGAACAATTCCTAAAACCCGAGAAATGTCTTCACAAGGGTTATCATAAGTTTATACTAAAGGATTCAGTGGTGTGTCGTCATTGTGTCATTCGTCACCATAAAACTCAGCATTTCTAGAATAAGGAAGATTCAGAGCTGTTCTCAGGGTTACATCAAATTTGTTCTCACTAGACTGTAGCCACGTTTGTTTAGAGTTTGATCGTAGCTGCTTTGCAGGATTTTTAAATGGTTTTATTTATTTATTTATTTCAATCATTAGTTCAAACTTCTGTTTTCATCACATGACTTTCAGTGTTCATTACTATTAAGCCTTTAACTTCATCAGATGGATTAACTATAATTCTGTATTCGCCTTTAGGGCAAACCTTTCCTCGTTTGTCATATATTAAATATATCCTTTTTTTATTGGTTTTGAGTTTTACACGTTC